CTCTCTCTCTCTCTCTCTCTTTCTCTCTCTCTCTCCCTCGCTATCTCTCTCTTTGTAATTTAGGCTTCAGAGGGACTTTAACATTCTTCAGTTTATTCTCATCTCAATCTTCCATAATATAAAAAGCCTGGATCCTTATATTTAACGTAATCATAGTTACAGCTGAACCAATTATAATGAGATTGAAAGGGATCAGGAAAAAAGAAACTTCTTCAACTGTCAGTTTTGTCTCTGTTTTTGTGTTCTCGATAAAAGTATCCCCACTCTCTGTCTTTTCTATCCGTAGAAATAATTATATTTCGCACACGGTGTCAAGGCGAACCAAATCTGGCCCTTTGAAGAATAGAGACCGTACTACTTCAAATAGTTTTGAAATGGAGGGATCCCTGTTTCACTCTTACCTCTTCCCCTAGGTTAACAATGCAGGAAGTATTGAAAACAACAACAGCCCAAGTCACGTGACACATTCAGATATGACCAAGACACTGGACCTGCTCCTTAACGCACCCGTCTTTATGACGCAGTTGTGTGTACCGCACTTGGCTAAAACCAAAGGTTAGTCAGGTATTGAGTCATGTTAAAACCACCCTACCGTGCCTGTGATGTGGAGGTGAGATGCTGGCCGTGTGGGGATAATTTTTTATTAAGTTTTTCTGTTTTTCTACTGGAATGTTTTATCCCTCCCAGTCTGGGTTGGCTCCTAAATTATTCAAAACATGTCGATGGGGGAGAAGAATTACTTAATAAAACAGATGCCAAACTACAAGTAAGACCTAAATAGATAATTTTGTCTAAATATTTACTGCGGTGCGTACTAGGTTAAAACAACTTTTTCCGTTTTTGTGTTCAAACAAGTGCACTTGAACCCCAAACAGTGGTAGATGGCCTCACCTACAGTGAAGAATATTTAAAGTATTCTTGAAATTTACAAGACCGGTACATATGGTGTAGTTCTTACTAGTTACGCTGTCACACACATTAGACGTAAAACATCTACGCTTTTATTTTTTTAAGGTTAAGATAAAACTGGAGCCCCAACTATCCTGCGAAGACGTAAACTAAACGTTTTGCTGCGTTTCCTCTCTATACCTCAGTGAAAGTCAACGTTACTTCCATACATGAAAATAATCAGCAGATCATTAGCATATCTTTCAAACGAGATACAGAGCTTAGAGAAAGTATAAACATTAACTACAGCGATAGTATGTTATTGTAAGGATAACCATGCAGATGCATAGTATCAAGAACGAATGTCTTTTTTTTGGTTTGTTTTGGTCCTATATAAACAACACCCTTTGTAGGCATGCACAGGATCACCAAAGTAAATGACTTACAAATTGCTCCTTTTGAGACAGCGACACCACCCTGCATTTCAGTGTAAGCTTGTAGATTTCATCCCACGATTGGCAAGATTCTATGAGAGTATTGAAAATAACTAACCCGTCTTTTGAATCGTGTTATTTTGGCATACATTAAAGTGTGGTGTTCAGCAAAATATGTCAACTTTTTAATATCTTAAGTGAATGCTGTAAATCCCCTGTCATGTTTTACCCACCTTAAGGGGGGGGGGGGGGGGGTGGCTACACCCCCAAAATCAAAATTTGGCTTCAAGCTATAGCCGTCTCGGATAAAAGCCAAAAAATCTAAGACGTCTTGCGTGCAAGTTGCTCACATAAACTCTCGGTGGTCCTAAAATTGATAAGAGTATGATCCGGCCGCTACCAAAGCACAATTCGAAATTACTTTATCTCTCTCTCTCTCTCTCTCTCTCTCTCTCTCTCT